TCAGTACAGCCTCCTACCCGCCATGTTTCGAATAGTCATGTGTGTAATTTGCAAGACAGGTGACAGAAAAAAAAGACAGGTGACAGAAAGAAAGTTGCGGACAAGTTGCTGCGGACACACACACACACACACACACACAGACACACAGACAACTCCGTTACAATATGCGCTTGGTACTGCTGTTACACAGCACAAAACGCATAAAAACTGACCAAAAAAAGCCCTTGTACATACCTAACAGAATTTGCTTGTATCGCCTGACAATGTTTGGTGTGTCGTATTTCGGTGCTGTCCATTTTGGATAATCCTCCAACGTCAGAATGCAGTCCTCGAGTTCGAATGGTTTTCTTGGTGGAAATACTTCAACTAAACGTTTCGTCAAGCTTTCGTCTGTCTACAATTGAATATTTCAGTTGGGCCAGCTTTCCGACAAAGCAGATGATCTATAACTGCCTCCAAGCTAATAAGACATCCGCGAGTAACGGTTTATTAAGCATATAACAAATCCTGTTGCGGTGTAAGAATGATAAATTTTAGGATAAGGTAATACACACACACACACATACACACACAAATACGCACACACACATAAATACGCACCAAAAACTTCTCGAAACAGCTGAAGCACTTCAGTTAGGGAAAACACTTTGCTGGTAATCTCTCCAGCAAACAAAATGAACACCCAGTAGGTTGACCATCAGGCAATGCAGTATTGATCAAAGCAACCGAGAAAGTTGCAAACTATACAAAATGAAGAGTCAAACCATGAATTATTCGCTGCTCCAGGTACAAAAAAGCAATGTATGGGTGATGCTCAAAAATTATGCACGAATTATTCTTGGTAATTCTGCTTGAAAAGTATATAAAACAACTCTATGGATGAGAGAGATCCAAAAAAAGGATGTTGTTTATTTTATAGGAAAGAATGAACGAAGAATTAGTAGCTTCTAAAAAATATCGTTGATTTTCAAAGGAAAAAAAAATTTTTTTTTCAAAAAAATTGAATAACTCAACCGCTTACCACATTATCCTCTTTTGAGGAAGTGCTCATTGGTGGTGAAATACATCCGCCGGATGAAAGTGAACTGGCTCGAAGATGGTCGTCCTCATCAATTGCCGGGGAACTTATGCCACCCGGCGGTACATGAAGTGTCAAAACGACGATATCAATTGCATCTGGCGACAGTGGTGTTTCGAGCGGACAACCCAGCAAATTAGCCCTCAAAATGAAATTTTTTGTCTGGAATGATATGGATTATCCGAAAAAAAACGGTTTATGTTAAGACCTCGACGATCTTTAATCATGATCTTCGAAAGTTCTAGGGAGATCTCTGTTATAGATTGTTCAGCAGAATTTTCTGTAATGTTCTTTGTGACGCCATATAGAACGGGTTGCGTCGTTTAGTGTTTTTTATTGTGCTCTACTCCCTGTATAAATACTCCTGCTTTTGTTGGTTTGTTGTTCGTTGGTTGGCTAATATTGTGTGTTGCGGATAAACCTATTTATCCTTCTGCGTCACTTCGTCTACCCTGCGTCGTTCATAGCCTGCTTCTTTAGTTAAGCAATCGGTCGCCTTTTCCAGTTGCTTTGACCAATGTTAAAAACCACCTGCCGGAGATCCTGGCGTTCTGTTTTATCTCCTGAAGGGATTGCTGGCTCAGTGGTTCTCCTACCACCACCAACTAACAAAATTGGGGCCATTTTAAGATAACCTTGGACAGTTCTGTGGGCTATTTTACTGTTTTCCGAGATTCCTCCATAAGGTATTTTACTGCTTGAAAATACTACACATTTCCCGCAAATTATCGGTAAAATCGTATGCTCAGATTGCGCCATTCGTCCAGAGAATCTTCTCCAAATATCAATAACTTGCCCTTATAAGAAACAATATCTGATGCTGTAACACTTAAAAACTTATTGTCCATCCCCTGCTCCCGTCCTCACTATTCTGACGCCCTCTCTACCTCCCTCCCCCTCTCCCATCCCACTCCAATCGCCCTTTTTTCATATTGCGGCAAAAAAAAAGATATTTACTGAATCAGTGTAATTAGTTCGAGTTATTAATTGGTCTTAGTTCGAGTAATTATTAACCGAAACATTTCTATTTAGGTTTTTACTCCGATTTATCTTATTCACCTTCCTTCGATTCCCTTACTTTTAAACCCTTACTTTTTACATAAACACACATCATCTAAAATTAAACTTACATTAGATATATCAACGAACTTCATTAAAACTGAGTTATTAAATTCTAGCTGCTACACATTTTTCAAAGCCGCTCTCAATTCTGCGTAGAATATTTATTTTTTGCTCTAATTTAATTCTATTGTATCGAAATTAATATTAAAATCTCGAAAATTTTTAAAAACAATACGAAATGCCTCAACCAAATGAATTAAGGTTTTCAATTTTCGCAAAACATAATCGAAAGGTTTAATAACCCAAATTTGAGGAGACGTAATGAGTGTTACGGTCGCCAGTTGGTTCTCCCACCAGACAATGCAGCACTGAAAGAGTTACCATTTTCATTGGGTGGACCACTAGGTCACTAGTTAACAGTTGTTCTGCGCATTTCCGACAGCCAGGAGATTTGACTGTCAACTATAAGTAAATTCAAAAAAAAAATTAAATCATTTCAGTCATATACTAATGTGAAACTAACATAAAAACATGTTTGTATTCAGTGCAGTATGAAAGTCGAATGCAACCAAGTGGTAGAAGGCTGGCAAAACCAAGCAAGATCTGTTTAGCAACATCGAAATCCCGGCATTTCAGAACGACCTAAACAGCTGTGAAGTATAATCAAAAAATCTGTGAATGTTAGAAAGATGTTGTTGCGGAAAATCCGTGAAAAGCCGGCAAACAAGAAATCGCCATAAAGAACTATATAATACCCAGAAGGGGCAGATAAAAAAAGGTAAGGTGCAATCTGCCTTAAAAGGCACCACTCCCATGCTAAGCTTGGAGCATCATGGATAGGACATCGCATTTGGACTGAAGAGTGGTTCAATTCCTCCCAGTATATACCAAAGAATTAAAAACAATAAATAGCAACGCGCACCAGATTAGCTGGTGCGATCATGCTTTTTGTGTAATTCAGCCCATCGAACGATTGCCTATTAACGATTTTCACTGCTTTGTACTTTAGTCTATGTAAAAAAATAGTTCAAACATTGGAAGACAGTTAAAAAATTCACGCACCAGCGCATGAAAGCTGAATTAGAAACCTTGAAGGGTGAATATTTTTCCGTGATTCCCGAGTTAACAGTTTACCCGCCAAAATTTTCACGAGACCGTAGGTGGTACCCGAGAGCGCGAGAACGCTGAATATGAATGGGCAAGGTTGAGCGGGGGCAGAGGGTCATTCCCCTAAAATTTCAGCCTCCTACACTCCGTTCTTCCCGAGATATTAACTTGCCCGTGAAAAACTTTCACGGGGCCGTACGTGTTACCCGCGGGTAATGGAAGGCTGACTTTGAATAGGCAAGGTTGGGCGTGGGCAGAGGGTCATTATCCTAAAATTTCAGCCTCCTAGATTCCGTGGTTCCCGAGATATTAACTTACCCATCAAAAACTTTCACGGGGCCGTACGCGCTACCCGCGGGTACGGGGAAGCTGAATTTAAATTTGCGGGATCACACGTGGCTGGGGGACATTACCCTGAATTTTCAGCTTCCTAGCTTTTGTGGTTCCCAAGCTGAAAGTTGCGGACAAGTTGCTGTGGACACACACACATACAAACACACACAGACAACCCTGTGACAATATGCGTTTTGTAACACTGTTACACAGCACAAAACGCATAAAAACGGCGTACGAGTGGCCTTTTGAAAAGGTAATGCACATACATTGAACAGGCGACAAATTGTACTAACTGGAGATATGCAGCTTAGGATCGAAGGACCTGGCAGAGCTATGCCTGGCATGTGCAAGTATCCGAGTAACACCACTGGCAAGGAATGCTGATATCAACTGTCCTGGATGGTTCTTTTTATCCTTAACATTAAATCGGACAAAGGCCATTACATTAACACTAAATATCAAATTATTCATGCACTGACCTGACCACCGATAACAAGCTGAGTTAAAACAACATCAAGGGCACTTCGACTGTCCACTCTGGGCAAACGTTCCAACATTTTTGCGATCTGTCGTAATGTAGCAATGGACTCGATGTTTCGCGAAGCATTTATATCTACAGAATCACCATCACCGTCCGCCCAATCTTTTTCTCGTTCTTTCATCACCAGCATATCCTGCGTTGGTACCCCTTCCAGCAAATACTCCGTGCACAATCGAGTCTGTGTACGTAGGAGCCATGTCATGTGCCTAGAAATTGTGTCAAATGAATTAAAAACGGGGAAAGATTAGCATACCGGATTCTTGGCTGGATTCTAAACTATATGTCACTGCATTTTAATGATAATTTAATGAAAATCCACTCAAATTCTGCAACAAGAAGGCCGCTCCAAGTTAACGCTATGGAGCAACTGAATTTACTGACTTAATGTCAAATAATTTATAACAATGCCACATCTGTCCATTTTTCCCTCTCACATTTCCCTTTACCACCATTTTTACATTTTCAATTCCTCCAAAAAACTATCACATCCTCTGTTGTGGCGGTTCTTACACCCTTTATAAACCTTCCTACCATTCTTCGTGGCTCAGTTTTTTTTTTCTTCAGCTTCTTCGCCGACTTCAGTCTCCTCGACCGACATCATCCCCGGCTCGCCAGCTACGACTCCTGTCGTCGCAATCTTCGAACACTACTAGGACTCGGACACCTTTGTCTCGAAGCCAGAACTATTCGACTTCGGAACCCCCTTTGCTAAATCCACTGCTGAGCAGGCCATCCCGTTCATCAGAGCTCAAGCGTCACGCATTATGTGTTATTGCTATTATTTGCGTCGTAATAAGTAAGACATAAAACTTATTATTTATCCAATTAGTACCACGCCACACAGCGATCCACACACACGTAAACACTCATCCCATAAAAATTTTTACTGAAAGTACCCCAACTGGTGATGGTTTTCAGTATTAGCCAT